CTCGTTCTGAAGATTACAAAGGAGCGACATCCAACTGCATAGCCATTACAATATACCGTTGTGTGACCTCGAGATTCGATTGGTGTACATTAAGTAATCAAACTAGTCTTTCCGTCTTGTCCATAAGATGTCGCACATGGAACCTTCACTTTTGCCACGACACATCTCAAGGTTGCAGAGAGAGAAAGTTAGCCATGCCTACACTATACCAGAGAGGCAGTCATGCTTGACTCCAGTAAACCAGTGGCCATTCTGCAGAATCTAGCATACGACTCCGGACAATAGAAAGCTGTTACCCATACAAAGTGATTATCAACATATTTGCAAATGTTGGAAAAGCCTTGACATGTACCATAAACAATAATATTTTTGAAAGACTGATTGCTACGTTGTGTACTTTATATTAGGCCGCACATATCAATATTCATCCATATTGGACAAGGTTTAACTTTCACTTCCTGTTGCGGCCATCTTGGATTCTCGAAAAATCTTGACATGTAATGCTGTAACTAATCTGAGTCTCTGGCCGCAATATTTGATGTCCGATCGAAAAAAGGAATAGCCGAAAGCGGTGGGAGAATAAAAATAATACATAAGTATTTATATACTAAAGTTGACTTTTAAAGTAATGACCTTAGTGACTATAAAACAAATGACACGAATGCATGTTAACAAAATTAGATAATCTGATCACACGGGGGAGATTTACTTGCTGAAATATTTGCCATTAAATTTCAATGTCTATGTCCTCTTTCGGCAAGGCCGCCATTTTGTTTAAAATTCCACATCATGCACTAGAAAATATGTACGTATCGAAAAAAATCTAAACGACCTGGAAGTTACTCCAGAAAGTTATCAGCTATTTTTTTCCTTATGTAACGGGCTTTTCATTGGATAACTGCTCATGTACAAACTGTCGATTACAGTACCGTAACTATATAGTTTTAAACAAGGAAATCCGTTATGACCAGGGGTTCAAAGCTCAGCTTAGACACTTTTATTTATTTCTCTATTTATTTTGTTTCATTTTTATTTACTTATTTTCCCCGCGCGTAATGTTTTTCACGAAGAAAGTGGTGAATATAAAATTATTACCAAAATCTTTTCCCAGCACACAGTTTTAAAAAAGTCCCCCTCGCCACAACAGCTGTATCATGTGTCGCCAGACCCATTGGACAATATAAAGAAAACTTTGATAATTAATTTCAGTGTCATTTCTTAGACAAAACTGAATTTTAAGTGCATTACTGCACAATAGATGAGGTCATATAAAGTTTTAACAATAGATGGAAGTGAACACTGTAACTTATAAATTTCATAACTTCCCGTACCTCTAACCTTTAACAGGGTCGCCACATCGGAACGAGATCTGAAACAAACAGTTAAAACAAACAACATATAATGAAGGAAACCATAATGAAGATTACAAGGACTCTGACAATTGTTGTCATGGCTACAGTGGCATTAGAAGAACCTCGGAAAGGTAAGACTAAGGCCTGAGATAGTCACTTCTTAATGTTATTCATATATTTCAGTCAAATGTTGGTTTTCTTTCTATGTATTTCCTACACAGTTGTGCGCGTATCTGCATTGTAAATATAGTAAACTGGCTACCTGCAAACTATAATGCATTTGTTCGAAAAAAATGATATTGATACTTCTTTCAATGAGTTTTGTTGTCTCTCATTAGCCTCCTAGGCTGTCTCCAATGCTTCAAAATTGAATGACGAAAAATCTTATATTGTATCGCATTCCAATTTTGTGTCGGAAGGCGCTATTCACTTGTGTATCCTTTGTGCAATGCTTTAAAACGAAAATATGTTTTCCGTCCAAGTGGGTAGTCAAACCAACAAATGACAAACATTTTTCACTATTACTAATATATAAGTGAATTTGACCACTGGATTTACTCTCTTGTCATTGTGACTGCGCTGACTTGAAAGTATCAAATAAGAAATATGTAATTTTCATCTGTCCGACAGTTGACAACGTCTTGTACGAAAATCGTGATGATGGGAACAGAACCCTGAATATCAAATCAACTGTGACATGTAAACACCATAGGTTAAGAATGTAGGAAAATTGCTATCCAGAAAAGGAAAATTCACAACAGGGAAATTGAAATTGTGCAAAGTACATCCACACTCTACACAGATATTTATTTACAATATTGCGTCAGTGCTGTCATGTAAACTGAACAGAAAGTAAAGGAATTCTCTTAAAGTACCATAAATGACATCCAACATCTGACCAGTATGTGGTCAAATTCCACTCCGTAAAAAAAACCCTTGATAAGTTTCAAGCCATCTTGCTGAAATGGAGATATCGGATTGATTTTGAATAGGATATAGAAACTACAATATAACAATGAATCTCGAAAAGACAAATGTGATTTCCTCCTCGTTAACCAACTTTGAAATGTTATGCTTTGGAATATATCAAAATTATGTTTTAAGGTAACCACATAATGTCGGCACGTCAAAATGTCGAAAATTCAGTAGCAAAATCGATACAACGGGGAAAATTTGAAACAGAGGAAACATTCTAAGAGTCTCAGTCCTTGTGCTATTTTTCAGTTCGTCTTGCGAATGATACGTTTAAACGTCAGGGCATCGTGGAGCTCTTAAGTGAACACGGCTGGAAACCCATATGTGGGAGCGCGTGTTGGTCTCATGCAAATGCTTACGTTACATGCACAGAATTGGGATTCGAGTATGTATTTATTGACAGCTGTCAAACGCATTGTACATTACTATCATTATCCTTTCAATTATTTCAATATTTCGAAGTCGATGGGACCATGGGAAAACTTCGATTTTTCCTAGTTTTCTAATTAAGCGAGTTCGAATGTTTGATGTGAAGTTTTACCGGTACCTATAAAATACTTCAAATTAAACAGGGTCTTCGAGTTATATGAGTTTAATTTTCAGCTCAGAACAAGAACTAAAACCCAAACGATAGATCGATCGTTCTTGTTCTCGTTTGGTAGGTTGAACTAGAACATTTCATTTATATATCTTTATTGTTAATTTTACCCGAACTGCATATTATCATGATCAGCGTATTGAATTTAGGCCTAGATAATGAGATAGATGAACAAAACAATACAATATAGAATTTATTCAATCATGTACTTTTCATAGATACATTTGCTTGTTCATTGATCAAGAGGGGGGCGAAAACATTTGGAAGAAAAAGAAGTGGCTAATTGCGTTTCTACGGATTACCAGTGCATTCAAAACGAGCAGACTTTAAACAGTTGCCCTCAGAACTGTGTTTCAGCCGAATCAGGACCTTGTAACATTGGCGCTCAAGTAATATGTCAAGGTGAGTGCAATTCGATATATTTTCATTTTCTTGAGCCATTTAACCTTTTTAAAAATTGACGAGGGTTTTGTTTGACGGTCTGATCTATTTTCATTATTTTTTGATAAGAATGTATTTTATCTTCGATAATTCTCAACACAACTCACCTTTGATGATATAGCACCATTAATATCAAGTAACCTAGTCCTCTCACCAAGACAAGTCAATATACATCATCATCATCGTCCTTTACAAGTATGCACTACTTTCATTATCATCATCATCATCATCATCGTCGTCGTCTATCTCAAGTATACACTGCATTCATTATCATAATCATCATCGTCGTCGTCGTGAAATAAGTTTATCTGTTAGACACGAAAGGAGATTAACCCTGCTAGACCAGTGCTGGTATCTTCTGTCATGGTATACATATATAAGTTTTAAAGTATTAACACTATCTTGTACAGTGTACCGAATGGCCATACTCTCAGCGTTGTGGTACAAATACTTCCTACAGACTGCATTCTTATTGAAAATAGGTACAATCTGATGACTATTCAATATAGATATACTCAAATTTCAGATAATAATAAAAACTCCATCGTGTCTTCTTCATCAAGTCATGAAGGAATTTCCTTTATGTTTCTTACTGGAAAAAATGTCTGAAAGTTATAACAATTTCAAACAATACCCGGGCAATGCGTTTTATCTAAGGCGACGTGCAAAGTGCTGATGTAATGCATTTCAGCATGGTACCATAATGATTTTCTACCTACAAATGCAGACTAGAATATAATATATATATATATATAAAATCTTTTTTTCTGTATGGTTTTCCTTTTTGGTGAAAGCCGCTATTTTCACAGATTGTTATTTTTTTGTTTCAAAAACGCGTTAAAATATTCCCAAATCATTGAAAAACATGATGTGGATTTGACAAGGTTTTGCTAAAACTTATATATACCGACTGGACAATGTCTTATAAGAATCACAAACAGCACGTACCTATTCCACTATTAATATAACAGTCGTCATTTAGATTAAAACACTACAAGTTTGCCGCTGAGTGCCACCAGCAGCACAAATCAAGTGTTAAATAACAAGTAACCGATTGAAATATCTAAAAGGTATAGTTCTGTCCAAGTTATAACTAACTTTAACCGTTAAGGAAGGAGAAATGTTAGGACAGATCAGTTCATTCAAATGAAGTGTATTGTTTGAACGTGCTGCGCATTTTAAAGCACATGTAAGCTACACGTTACAAAAATTATATAAGAATACTGAAATGTATATTTTATATTCAGGTTTGTTAATTTGATCGGAAACCAGAGATGTTTGAAGCGATACTATAGTATAAATAAAACTGGTGGCACGCCTCGTTGTAATTCCTTTTAAGGTTGGCGCGGTTCAGAATATACACCTTTACTTCACTTTCTTGTGAAATCATCGAATATTGTGATATATGGAAATTATTCAATTATAGGGTAAGCGCACCTCCCGATCTGGTTTTCGATATTCATTTTGACCAACTTTAATTATCCTACATCGATTCCGCACTTTAGGCCCCTCTCATCATAGCTGTTCGATGACCGTGCAGTATGAATATTTACAGGTGCTAATCGCTAGTGTGTATGTTCCTTTGTGTTTAATTACTCGAATCAAAGAAAAAGCTTAGAAGTCTATATTTAATTATGTCCAAGTACTCTATATTTAGTATGTTATCTCTGTTTAAAACAGGTGCCATTCAGTTGAATTCGTATAAGTCCTCCGGCGACAGAAAGGTTGAGGTTTTCCGGGAAAATGTATACCGAGAACTTAAATGGCGAGGTCTATGTAGTACTTGTTGGACGAATCACAACACAGATGTCGTATGTAAACAGTATGGATTCATGTAAGGCATACAATACTATTAACTTTTCCTTGACTTTGCTACAGTCATATCTAACAATACAAGTAAATTCCTTTCAGAGATGGTGTTGGGATATTTAACAAGACAAGATATTTAACGTGTATATATCATGTACAATTGAATTTTTTCGTATATTATCGAAAATTAAGCGAATTGTATTGAAATCAGTCATCCAGCGAACCATTGCATGACGTCATATGAACGGTTACTGTAAACGTACCTAAAATGCAAGAATCTAATTTCAGCGCAATATCTTTTTTTTTTTTTTTGGGGGGGGGGGGGGGGGTAATTAGTGCAATGGTGAATTAGCGCATCCAGATTTATTGATATAAAACAAAAGAAAAGAGACTACATTTTACGCAATAATATATTCGGGGATATTTTCACTGCGTAAAGTGCTGAAATTACGTTTCCGCTACGTTAACAGTATGTATAATAGAACTTGTGAATTAAAGGATTTTGTTCTTGTTTACGGAGCTACTAAATCTATTCTAGGAAAATATATGATATTTTATATGTAAAAAACCCTGATGAGCACACAGTCTTCTTATTGACATTGATAAGATCAAAGTCAACATGTTCAATACAGTACTAATATCTACTAAACCGTTACTCGTTTATGATTCCATCCTTTTTTACTCAGGAATGGGGAATTCCAGGCGGAAAATGAATCGAGTTCTGATACATGGGAAAATTTCGCATATGCTTGCTTTGGTAACGAAACACACCTTTCTGAATGCCCTGTGGTCGAGGAATGTAAGAAATGTACAACTGGAAATGTCATTGTGAAGTGTTATATAGGTAATATTGCACAGTATCAGAAAAATCGCTGTCATTTTTATCTAGTTGATATATTTTATTTGACAAATTAGCAATATGTCGGATGAAACACCTTTTTCACTCTTTGGGTTCGTCTTCCTCTCTTTCCTCCTTTTTAGGCTAAACGTACTCAGTACGCATAGCCTATTGCGACGGCCTTTCAGACAAAATTGACCGATCCTGGCCTTCTCATTGGCTGAAATATCGAAAAGCGTAAATAATGCCGCGATTTTTCAAATCGCTATTTTACAAGCATCCAAAATTAGTTTATTTTTTAATAACAATACGATTACTATATATTTCAAAAAAGAAGCACAGTATGGTTGAACTATTAATAAATTTTGAACAATATATTTTACGGAATTATCGACATGACGTAAGCGTACAGAACACTGTACGTGCGAGTTGGCGCCATGATAAGAAGCTAGTCTGGGGGCTTGGTTTGAATTATCAACTAACAGCACTTATAAACAAACAAAACTTACAAACAGAACATCAATTTTGCTTTAATCTTTGTCGTTGTGGCAAGATCTTCTTAATATATAATACCACTTTACCTCATTAGACGTCACAAAATTGGACTGTTCGTCCTACGGGCACACCCGCCGATATGACACTTTTTCAGGATTTTCACACCCACCGCCATGACACTTTTTCAAGTTTTTGAAGATAAAAAGTTTGCGCTTCGTGGGCAAGGTACATTTGGTGCTCATGATTTATGAATAATATATTTTTAATACTGTACTGATCATGATGTTGACTTTGTTATAACTTATACTTTTTGCCTTTTAGTTTTATTTGATGAAGGTTGGTTGTGTTGATTTCTCAAGGATTGTTAATGTGTATCAAAGTGCCTTGAAATGAAAATATTCCTTCAAACAAAGCGAGTATAAAAAAAATCCCAAAATATTGATTTAGCGTGTCATGGTGACATTATCTAATGCATTGGATATCAGAAATAGTAGTAGCTATAGTGAAAATATTGTAAATTTTGTATATGTAAGTCTGGTTTAATCTCATAGAACTATGCCTTTATAGACATAATTACTGTAAGAAAAGTCTAACCATGATACCCATGATACTTCAAGGAAGATGGGCATGTAAATACATTAAATGTAATTACTTACACTTTAATCTATCTGAAATGATGTGTACACCTTATCAACTTTCCTCAGCTATAAATGTAATTATAATAAGTAAGGACTATTACTTTGAAATACATTCAAAATAAAGAATTAGGTATAAAGTCCTTTCGATTTGTCTAAATCCTCATATTGATAGGATAGTAATTGCAACATCTTGGGTATTTCAAAGGTTTTATTTAGTCAACTTCATCATAGAGCTATTTATCATTTGGCTTGTTGGCGAAATTTGAAATATATGTAAAGTGTAGAATTTTTGTAAAGTGTAGGAGTATGGGGAAAGTAATATAGCTTAGCGGTTATTTGTGAACATTTTTCAATACGTTTAGCCTCTCAGTACTTTCAGTACTTTGATTATATTCTCTCATGCATACGTTCTCCTTATAGGGGAATACAACGACACATGCGCCAGACAACGTAATTGTAAAGACGGCTTAGTTTGTGTACATGAAGTATGCACCTGTGATAACGAAATCAATTCGTATTGGAACGAAGAGGAAAAGAGATGTTCAAAAGGTAAGTTATGGTTAGAGCAACAGACGCTTATTACAAAAACAAGTTTGGTATCTGTCATTTTGTCAAACCTATCAAATCAGGACTTTTCCCTCTGGATCCTGCAGTACAAAATACATGTTCAATATAAACGATGTACACGCTGATAGTGAGATTATCCTCTCTATGACAGATCTACATCAAATTTATAGGCAAACATCCAATACAAAGAGGCATATTATTTTTTCTTAATATACATATGCATTTTAGAGCCTGAACCGAATGTATTTAATTGTAGTCTCAGTCCATATTACGGTTTATAAATAATACACTTGCTTCTAAGACTTTATGGTCAAAGGGAAGTAATTTAAATAACATAATCGAATGAATGTAATTCTTTAAATAATTCATAATCAAATTGAGGTGATTCTTTCATGATATACAATCAAAGGGAGGTAATTATTTGAATAATATATAATGAAAGGGAGGTAATTATTTAAGTAATATATAATCACCGGAAGGTGTAAGGGAACCGGAAACAGAACGTGTAAATGTGGAACCGATGCCGAGTTTTGGGACACAAGAACAAGCAAATGTCAAGAGAGTACAGAGAAATATATTCTGCTTAATAAGCTACATTGTTGATAATTCATTTACTTTTTTGCTCTTTATTACAGTTTAAGATTAATTAAATTTGGATAATATTTGTTTAAGATAATTTCGATCACATAATTTATTTTAAAAATCGTAAGAAGAAAAAAAGAAATGAAATGTGAATTATAAATGACGAAGATAAAATCAAACGTATTTTTTGGAGAAATTACGTTAGCTAATTTAGATTATTTTCTACAAAACACAAAGGATCCAACTTTTCTGCGGTTTTCGTTCCATTGACCCAAACCTTCCAATCAGCAAGGGAGTTCTGCATTGAAAAGTTAGGAGGAAACCTGGCTCTGCCTGAAGAAGTTCAACATTTGTTCCTTGAATGTGCGATGTATGATGCAGATATATGGCTTGAGCATGTGTCACTGTACAAAGAAATGGATATTGAATATGGTATAATACCTTTAGCTTCATCAATGGTTAAATTAATTTATTTGTTTTGATATGATAATATGGATATTTAAGACATTGTCACTTTGGTTAATAAGGAATCTACATTCTAACACATAGTATACTTGCTTAAGTGAATGAATTTTTGTGAGGCAGTAACCAAATTCATCCAAGAGGATTGTTTTGAAAAGGACGCGTGCTGACTCTCAACTCAATGTCCTTTCTTTTAACTTAAGCATTCCCTATTACATCATGTCTTTTTATAGTTTTTTTTTTACCTTTAACAGTTTATAATACTTTACATGTGACTGAAAATCATTATAGCCAAAAGGCTTTATATCTATAATTTATAGGATGATATGAGTACTTGTATTCAATGCACAACAGCTAATACAATTTTTGAATATTAATTTAATTATCCATGAATAAATCAAACACCGGGAGGAAGTCTGACAAGATAAATATGAGAAAGTTACACATTTGTATTACCTGACAAGCAAAAAAACTTGTATTAATACAAAATTGATATATCTTAGATACCACAGAAAAAACTCGGCAATGCTTATATGGAACCAAATCTGGCGGAATGTTGTATACGAACGGCCAAGTGGATTGTTCGGAAACCTTCAGTTTCCTCTGTGTAGTAAACGGTAAGAGAAGTTCAACAAAATCCCATTCACAAATAACAGGTATGTTTCCTTTCGTTGGCTATTGTTGTTTTTCACTCTGACGTATGCAAATTCTAATATGATGTGGTTTTATAAGAAAATAATGGTATCATATGAATGAGATACAATATATATCTTTCAAAATATGGCCATGAATTCTTAAAATGTAAATAGTTTGCTCCTAAAAATTTCCTTCCCTGTTAATCATTTTGATGCCAGAATAAGATGGAAAGGCCATCCCCACATATGTGAGAAACCCTGAACTGGTACTTCTTCTGAAAGGCTGTTACAACGAATGTAAAGCCAGATAAATAAATAAGTAAAAAATAAGATAAAAATGTCGGTTATGAAATAAATTATTTGCCGCAGATTGATTTATTGTCTAACTTTCCTCCTCATCTGCAAGGTCTATAAAGTTCCATTTCCACCGACATTGAGTGTGTATGTTTAAATTGTACCTTTCTGAGAGGAGAATCTGGATAACTTTTGTAATGTTGAAACTAAATTATCTAAAGTTCAGAAACTTAATTCTTTTTATAATTTTTTATCTAAAAATACAAAATAATTGCCTTTCTAATTATAAGCTGTAGCTTTATACATCGTTTCTTGTAGCGCATCAAAAGCAATTTTTAATCTCGTTTTATTGTTCCGAAAATTATATGATGTATATGTACTTGGTCAGTAAGGGTGTTGTAAACGTGTGCGGGACGGAACGATGTGAGTACAAGTGCGTTTGATTGGAGTTGTTATTACACGTTTTGTTGTTTGGATGAATAAACAATAAAAGGATAAAAGTCGAATTAAATTTATTTGTTTATTTACTGCCATTTCAAAAAACATAAAAATACGCTGCTTGCTTGCTATCGTAGACCTACTTCGTACAACCGTAATCAACATCATGAAACTGATATCGTCAACCTTATTTATACATTTCGTTCATCGAATTTCGAGATAACGAGTTTTGACTGTACTTGTAACCATATACGATTCATGTTGTTTGGTATAAACAAGTTGGCTGTGTTACTGACCCCAGTAAAGCCAATGTTATAAAGTACCCTTATTTTCACCAGGTAGTACCTACTCCAACAGTACTAAATGTAAGAAATTTAACGAATTTCACGAGGCAGTGAACACTCCCGTCCAGTCAACAGGTAAGTAAAAACTTACCTTCAATATTTCTGATACCATTCGAGTGAAAAAACTTAAGTAATGCCGACATGTTTACAAACCGAAAGCAAACAAAAATATTTACATAGAAACCCTTCAGGAAATAAAATGTAAATAAAAAGACCAGGTGTTCCAGTAGGTAGGCGTCTTCCAGAGATAGAAAATATATCTTACAGCTTGATGGAAAGCTCTCATGATTAGTTTCATAAAACTAAGATCATAATAATCGGAACTAGAGTTTTTTGTTACATTTCGTTAAAGGTTAATAACATTCGTTATTTCCTAGATTCAGTATAGAACAAGCAGCACGTCCGTTACTAGATTGTACTCAGCTCGTGTTTCATTGTTTTGTTTTCAGATCCACTGCCGATGATTATCGTCGGTGTGTCCGTATTTGTTATCTTGGTAATTGTACTGACCGGGGCAGTTTGTTTATATAAAAGGTAAGTCATATTAATTAAATATTCATGTGTTTCATGTCAGTCACGTCTCACTTTTAATGTAATGTAAAATCTGGTTTACATAGTACTAGTCACAACAGTGGTAGAAAGTAGGCTTTCAGTAAAAAGATAGTCTCCGTTTGTCTATAGATTTGGGGAATTTTTAACAAACAATGTAATAATGGTCTGTATGGTCTTTTTGAGTGATGATAATTATTTAGCTGTATGGTCCTTTTGAGTGATGATAATTATTTAGCTGTATGGTCTTTTTGAGTGATGATAATTATTTAGCTGTATGGTCCTTTTGAGTGATGATAATTATTTAGCTGTATGGTCCTTTTGAGTGATGATAATTATTTAGCTGTATGGTCTTTTTGAGTGATGATAATTATTTAGCTGTGGGGAATTTTTAATGATAATTATTTAGCTGTACAATGTAATAATTTAGCTATTGGTCCTTTTTGAGTTTGATGGTCCTTTTGAAATTATTTAGCTGTATGGTCCTTTTGTCCTTTTTGAGTGATAATAATGATTTAGCTGTACGGTCCTTTAGAGTGATAATAACAATTTAGCTGTATGGTCCTTTGAGTGATAATAATGATTTAGCTGTATGGTCCTTTTGAGTGATAATAATTATTTAGCTGTATGGTCTTTTTGAGTGATGATAATTATTTAGCTGTATGGTCCTTTTGAGTGATAATAATAATTTAGCTGTATGGTCCTTTTGAGTGATAATAATAATTTAGCTGTATGGTCCTTTGAGTGATAATAATAGTTTAGCTGTATGGTCCTTTTGAGTGATAATAATAATTTAGCTGTATGGTCCTTTTGAGTGATCATAATTATTTAGCTGTATTGTCCTTTTGAGTGATGATAATAATTTAGCTGTATGGTCTTTTTGAGTGATGATAATTATTTAGCTGTATGGTCCTTTTGAGTGATCATAATTATTTAGCTGTATGGTCCTTTTGAGTGATCATAATAATTTAGCTGTATTGTCTTTTTGAGTGATAATAATAGTTTAGCTGTATAGTCCTTTTGAATGATGATAATGATTAACCTAAATGGTCCATCTGAGACAAAAGGGTGATTTAGATATACGGTCCCTAATAGTATCCAACAAACTCAGTATTTCCAGGACATAGTTTCCTGGTATTAAATGATATCAGTGTTTGTTTCCGTTTTCACATGATCATTCACTACATAGAATTATTTCTGTTTGCTTAATATTGTTTTACATAGACTTTAACCGTAGACTTCAGTACACTTGCTTTATGTTTATAAACACCTACGCAATATACATAATTTCGCTCGTTCACTGAAATCATAGTATACAAAATTGAGACTTTTCTTCTTCTGCTGACAGATATGACGGAATTTAATGTATTTTTTTACTTATTATACAGGAGGAGGAGGAGGAGGAGGAGGAGGAGGAGAGAAAATAACAAACATGGACCAAGGGTGTTGTATGACACGCGCAAAGAAAACAATTCAGGTGTTGATAAACTTAACATTGATACAGATCCGGAGAATCAATACGATTCAACATCGGACGTGATGGAGACTAATCACTATGGTTATGGTGTACTTGGCGGGAAGCGCGGAGAAAATGCTGGAAACGATATGTACTCCCAATCTGGACAATTGAATAACAAAGACGAGTATGACACATTTATCCGGAAAGAAGAAGATACAGATGTGAATGATATGTATGATCACACACGAGCTGTTACACACGAAGATCACTATGATGAATTTCAGAAACAGAAATGATGTCAGGTGGTGGATAGGTGGCTAGGCTAGTAATAACGTGAATTCACTTTTAACGTCACCTGAAACAAAATCTTCAGTGACCTATTGCGACGGTCTTTTGTCCGTCGTCGTGCGTCGTGAACAATTTACATTTTAACTTCTTCTCAAGAAGTGATACTGGGACTGTAGCATGTTGGAATGAAGGGCAAACAAATTGGTTAAAATGAATGGCCTTGGCCCACTTTCAAGGTGACAGGGGTCAAATGTGTTAAAATCTTCAATCTTAATAATCGAAAGGTCAAGTGGTCTGAAATATAGCCTGTAGCATGTTTGAATAAATGACTACCAAGTTTGTTCGAGTGAATGACCTTGACTCACTTTCAAGGTGACAGGAGTCAAAGTCTGTGAATTTGTATTCATTTTTCATTTTGAATTACAAAACAGGCTTGAATTCGTTGTCAAGGAGGTTCAATGTTTTGAAAACTTCAGTGCAGGGCCCTAATATTTTGATTTGTTCAAATTTTTGCAGTGTCTTCTAAATCCACACTTGCTTCAAACAATAGTTTTAATTTCATATTCTAGATATTGGATAAGAGAGTTTTGGTAAGTTTTTGCCTGACATTTGTTGAAAACAAAAAAAATCAACTCATGTAAGCGTGAAGTCCTATGGGCTTCTTGTTTTTCTATTCATATGACCACTTTTACTTTAATAAATATGTGAATAACTCTATGAAACATAATGAATAATTGGTAGGATAAATGCCACCTAGATAAGTTGTTTGGACGGATTTTGTAAAAGCTACTAATAGTTTAGCAGATTCTGTATTGGTTTGTTGACTATATATCATGATACTTGAGGTAAATCTCTGTTTAGTCATTACATTGTTTAGTCTAACATAGTTATACTTGTATTTTTGTATAACATCGCTACATTTGAATATTGCACAACATCGCTAAATTTGTATTTTGTACAACATCGCTTAATTTGTATTTTTGTACAGCATCGCTTAATTTGTAATTTTGTACAGCATCGCTACATTTGTATTTTTGTACTACATCGCAACATTTGTATTTTGTACAACATAGCTAAATATATATTGTGTACTACATTGCTACATTTGTATTTTGCACAACATCGCTAAATTTGTGTTTTTGTACAACATCGCTACATTTGTATTTTTGTACAACATCGCTACATTTGAATTTTGCACACATCGCTTCATTAGTATTTTGCACAACATCGCTTCATTAGTATTTTGTAAAATATCGCCAAATTTGTATTTTTGTACTACATCGCTACTTTTGTATTTTTGTACAACATCGCTAAAGTTGTATTGTTGTACTACATCGCTACTTTTGCATTTTTGTACAACATCGATACATTTGTATTTAGCTAATAAGGTACCGTACACAAAAATATGCAGTACAGTCATTATACTGATCAAGGGCACGGGAGTGTGGCAGGAAATATATCAATAGAAGCTTAGGGTACCATATCGTTAAATTCAATACAATAAAAACACATGTCTGCATCGTAGTCTTAAATTCGTAAGATCGTTGTACATTCACCATTATTATGTTGGAGAAGCAGGATCACGATGTTGCTTTCAAGAAATGATTTTGTTGTGAGCAAGTTTAGGGATAAGCGGTTGATATGGCAGACTCTGTAACGTCTTTAATCTCTAAATCGAAATTAGAGCAACAAATAAGCAGAAATCATAACAGCCAATTGAGGACACCGGACGGTTAGTTACTGGTTTTAAGTGGAAGTTATCATGCCAAACTGAACTGGAGCTTACAATTTGACATTAAAGAAAAATTAAAATCTTCAGTTGAAAACTCGTTTACGGTAATTTGAAGTATTATAATTTATAATTGATATGTTCGTTGTATGCATGATCAATGATGTAATAACGACAGTACGGACAAGTAAATTGTCAAAATTTCGAGGCAACCTGTCGCTTTATCAACACAAAAAATATTACATAAATTACATCACATACATAGAACAAAAAACAAAGATGAAGACACAAACATCAACCAAGAACAATCTTTTTCTATGTTCCGATTATTTTTTCGGTCACGGTTGGACGACGAAGAGGGTAATTCAAATATTAATTCCGAGTTAAATAATACTTTGTGTGCAATACCTACTGAGCGTGTTTGCGTGCTCACAATAATCACAATATTTTGTGTCGTTTAAAGGACGGATCGCTTCGAAAATTGTACATTTTACTTATCCATGCTATCGTTATTGTAATACACATCCAACCATCAGCACATTTGTTTGTTATGTACCAATATTGGACCATAACGTCGATACTACTTACTAGACTTTATGCATTGTACGTATGTATGCAAATGCACATTTTATAAGTTGATTTACAAAGAAACAAACGCATGACATATCTGGTGAAAATTAGTAAGAAAAAAATCAAGTGAAAATAAGCAATATGGTTAAACATTGTGACATACATGCACAGGTGGTTTTCTTATATAGCTGGAGTCTTTTCAAGTATTTCCAAGTCTTTTCATGTTTATAAAAGTCTTGTTTAAAAAGATTTAAAATTTTGTTCATCATGTACATTGCATTTTTATTGAATGTTGTAAATATGTTCTCTTTATACATTGAACTGTTTTAAAAAAAAAATAATAAAATTGAAAAAAAATTGTAATCTTTGAATTAACTTTAATCAAGTTTAATATTGATCCATAACACCAAAAGTTCTTCCTTTGACATATTCCTTTGACATAAACCGCGGTTTATTTTAGAGTACGTTGCAGTGTTTTTGTTTGTTTGTTTTTTGAATGGCACAACAACACAAAATTAATTCTTAAATAATTTAGTCCTCCATAAGCATTATTTTCATTGGTCATTTGTGTTGTGTTAATACTTCGCATTAAAAACCACTCGATATCATTTTGTAACGTCACGTTTGATTGGCCAATGCGGTTGTGTAGGATTTAACGAACAGACTCCATTATGAATATAAAGAAATATTGCAGTTCGTGATGAAATTTGATAACCAACTATATTTTCACAACACACACAGAAATGAAACGGAATTTCTCTTTCTTAAGATCACACTTGGATTTTTTTGTGTATGACTTTATAACATCAAACATAATGCTAACAAACAACATTTAGCTTTTAGCGATTTATTCAGCTGCGTGTACATGCAGACGTTGGATTTCATTTTTTTTAACGAAATGGTGACATTTCTAACTCTACAACGGTGACATGTTGTTGAGGTCCTTGCTCCGTGCTCCAAAGGTCGCTGGACAGAAACCTACTGGCGGCCGGCAGAAATGAAGACTAAATGATTCTGTGTTTTTTTCATGCGAGAAATTCAAAGTCATTCAGATATGAAACATGCAGAATATAAGATTGTATGAGACGAAAAATACAGCGATATTGTAGAGCCTGCTGGAATTATAGCTTAAATTCATTGACGGCAGATAGTAAATTAAGATTTTAAATGAAGACATGAACAATATGCCTTCACAAGGAACGGGCGGTGTATTTCTGGTCATTAGTCACTGAAAAATAAGATCCCGGCATACGTTAATGAACTTAAACACGGATGTATTCGTGGATGTAAAAAAATCCTCTAGAACACTACTTTTGGTAATATTGTTAAAATGACTCCTAGGATCATTTTGAAGACAGGTTTGACCAATGCTTTAATAATCTGCATATAGTGCAGAAAAAAATCACGTAGTATTTCAAATTTCATTGATTGAAAAAATTTGACAAAAAAAACCCCAAAAAAACAAACAAAAACAAAACAAGCAACAGTAAGTTAAGAAAACCAAACAGTGAACTAAAATTGGGTATTATGTTTTGTAAATTGTGAAATTAGATTTCTGTTTTGGTAATGGTATTGATTTAATTTACCTGATATCATCTATAGGTACCTCATACTTACAAAGTAAGGGTGTCTCGGCAGACCAGGCTGGTACTTGTGATAGCATGTACATTTGTATGTCGGGATTGATAATGGACAGTATATTGAACGTAAGTACAAATGATCCGCTACAATAGAACTCAAGAACTACCAAATCTCATCATTTTCAGTTTTTTCGCGAAAAATGTTGCTTTATTGTTGGTTATTTTAAACATAATATACATCTTGGTATATTGGTTTTATGCAATGAATTTTAAATGATACAGTAACAAGTATGATAATTACAGTACACGCACATAGACAACTGCATGAAACTCATATGAGGATGATGGTGGATGTGTCTTTGTCTCAAAAGGGGACTTTTATACTTTGTCCAAATTTAACGATATATTTAAATGAGTAATCTGATTATGCAGATTTTATTTTACCTAATGTTTCCAGTCTACGGGAGTAAATCAGGACCTACCTAACAGGGAATCATGAGAAATGAAAACGAAATGTAGGAACATCGAAAAATGCAGATTTATTCATAATTTTTCACTTCCTGTAAAATATTTTATCATCTGAACACAGTAAATTGTTGAAATGTACTTCAGCTATGTTTATTTGATAAATCATGCGTTTAGCCATTGATATTTGTTCAGGCCAGGCTGAGCCGGGCTTTAGACCTGAAGTATATATTGTACACAATTGGTTTCCTAACATCTTCGACGTTTTAGTGGGAGAGGGTAGACAGGGGTGCCGGTTACCGGTGAAGGATATGTCTAAATAGTAGGGGTGTTGTGTTTACCTATACACTGTCCCCGAACATGTTACTATTAGTGATATAGTTATAATAAAAAATAATATAAGTATATATATATTAATATAAATATTGATAATCACAATTTCATCAGGATCGCTTGTGCTTAGAATAAGAAATATTATGTCTTTAATTAGCATAACTAATGGATGGTAAAGATTATGGGTCAAATGAACCTTTCCATGGTTAGATAATGTAGTAACGGCACAGACATAGATCAAGTCTATGTCTCTGGTTAACTGTTATAATTGTGGAATATTCATACGTAAACTGGGAGTATCGAATCGGAAGGTCTGGAGTTCAACATTTCTTTCGCGTGCTTTGTACAAAAATTTCATCAGTATAAATCATTGTTAAGTGCTGAAATGTACATATAGGATTACACTGGTACGTACA